AGGAGGGAGTGTCTGCCCGGAGAGAGGAAGGTCAGTGGTTGCCATGACATGAGCTTGTACCCTGACCACCACTGAGTATGTCTGGAGGAGGGAGTGTCTGCCCGGACAGAGTAAGGTCACTGGTTGCCATGACATGAGCTTGTACTCTGACCACCGCTGAGTATGTCTGGAGGAGGGAGTGTCTGCCCGGAGAGAGGAAGGTCAGTGGTTGCCATGACATGAGCTTGTACCCTGACCACCACTGAGTATGTCTGGAATGGGCTAAAACAAGGGCTGGTCGGGTCGGAGTCGGTATACTGTTTCTGAGCGGGGTATGGGGCGGTCGGGTAGCCCAGTGGTTAAGGCGTTCGCTCGTCACGCCGAAGACCCGGGTTCGAATCCCGACATGGGTACAATGCGTGAAGCCCATTTCTGGTGTCCCCCGCCGTGATATTGCTGGAATATTGCTAAAAGCGGCGTAAAACCAATCTCACTCACTCACTCACTCACTCACTGAGTGGGGTATTCATGTTAACCTGCGGCCTGGCATCCCAGTGGGCTAGCACTCTAAATCTGCAGTACAAGCAGCCACACATTCATAAACATGCATGCTATGTAAGTGCAATAATCTTGAATGTAATGATAAACCCAATTTTACCTCAACACCTTGGTAATTGTGTCTACAGAAGGTTCTACTGATCTGATGTCAGTGTGTCTACTGCATCTTCAGCAGTGTGGCCATCAGCCGGACGGCACTCCCATACAACTAGACTCTGTCATGACAAGCTATAAACTCTCATCCAAACCTCCAGTAAAGCAGGAACAGAATAGAAACAAACTGTTGTTGACTTGAAGAAAATAATCACATAAACTTAAGATCACATGGCCGCGTTGGCAATAAAGTCAGTGCTGATGTGTCTCAGGGGGGAAACTTCCTGTAGTAAAGGCTTTGAAATTAGTACCATAATTGACAGGTACATAGACTCCCAATACACTATGAACTGGCCTTGATATATGATGAAACCAGTGTCGACGTATTGAGAAAGCACGCAAGGAGCCGGGTAATGAAATGTATGTCGCAATGGGTTATCTTACAACTTAACTACATGGAATGTACCCTTTGGGATTGGAAGCTCTAATGATTTTGTTATATGTTCCGAGTCCCCATGGGCCGGTGATTGGTCTGAGGGAAGAGCTTGAGATACTTCCAGGCTTTAAACTCTATGAATATAGATGTGGCCATTACTGTATGTGCTTATGGTTGTATATATATATATGTGAACACATTGGCTTTGATTGGTTATGTGCATCAAGAAGTGAGGTCAAAATACAATCGTTCAACTACTGTTGCTTTGATTATTGTTTTGATTGTCAACAAGGCATCAACCAATATTTGTATTACATGTGATTAAAAGGTTCTTGACATTAAGGATGTAATGCTATAGTTATTGTTTCAATAGTTGTGAGGGTGAACTGGCTGGAATGCCAGATTTTGGCTCTTTCCGTCAAAACCACAGCAAAGCTTGTGGGTTAAAAACAGTCATATCAGGCAAATACTGTATTCGACGTAATAAGCGCCCAGGGCGCTCTCAAATTTAGAAATAGGGTTGTCTTATTAGAATATTATTTTAGTGAAAAAAAAATTAAAAGGTAAATTTCGTGGTTTATGCTGACAGCCTGAAATGTTTATGTACGACAGATATATTTTTCCAGAATTTAATTGCCCATAATTAAGTGTGCATATAACAGATGAGTGCGTATTTTAAGCGAATATATAAGTCTTGTGTACATTGATCAATCGGAAGGGGTGCTAATTAGGATTGTTCACTGACCAATTTATTAGCGAATATCGCCGTGGGTGCTTATTAGAGCGGGGTGCTTATTACGTTGAATACGGTATATACAAGTTCCTTCATTTTCAGCTTTTTTCAACATTAGGTTAAGTTAACCAGTATAGCGGCTATTTCACCTCTATCGGCAGCGGTCACGTTGGTGTATGGACAGTATATCTTTTTGCCTAAACAATGATGTATCTATTGTCATGTCCTGAAATATATGGTCTGTGATTCAAGGATACATCGGGGATAAAAACAACTGCTTATATTGTATAGTAAACCACTTGGTAGCCATCTGAAGCGAGGTGGTAGGATTAGCTGATCGTTCTTTCCCGGTCGCTTTGTTGGTGTTTTGCAGCCGGTACTTAAAATGCTGCCCTTGATGTCTGAATATCATACTTTTAAAAATGAAGTATAGTTTCATTTTACAGGTACCCATAGCTATGTTGTATAGTCGCCAATCAGGCAATATGCATGCAGTTCAGTACAGCGGCTGTGTGATACGGTACACAAAATGTGATGGTCTTATGCAATGTAAATTAAAGGTCATCTGTGAATGTTGTGAATTTTGACAGCAATTTATCAAGAAATTAATTATGATGAGATAATTGAAAAAGGTAAAGCTCATTCTTAAGTTCATAAGACCTTCTGTTGTATGTTTTATTATTCTAAATTGAAGTTTCAAATACCCACACAAACAAATACATGTAAATAACATCATCTTTTTTCCCTTTATTTAAATAGAATTCTGCATTGCAGAGTGTTATAATTTTATTTGAAATCTTTGTGTGCTTGTGTGTGTGTACCAGTATTAGATTACACATGCATGGCTTTTTAGCAGTTATTATATATAATCTGTTTTATGTAAAACCAAATAATATAATTAAATGCATTTAGACATTTCTACATGGAATGATTGTGGGGTTAAATTTGCCTTTATGTCATGATAAAAATATTTCATTGTAAAGTTTTTAAAATCATATTCGCTATGTCACAATAATAAAATAATGATAATCTATAAAAATAGACTTAATACTGAAGGTGTCTTGAAGTACTGTTGAATGAAAATCAGCTATAGCAGGACAGTGCAACAATCTTGGAAGCGACGTTAAACCCCATCTCACCTCACCCTTTCTTGGTGGCATTTGTATTTGTTGTTCTTCTTCTTGACCCAACAATACAAAAAAGGGTATATTGCCTTCACCCTTGAACAGGGCTCCCAGCATGTTAACTGTATACAGTTTTGTATTTGTAAGGAAAACCCCTAAAACTGTTTGTGTGCCAGTACAAAAGTGAAGCTGACTGTTAAGTGGAAGTCAGGCATGTCAGATTGCAGGTTTATTACCCTGTAGTTGAGGTTTGTGAGTTGTGGAACAGTGTCAGGAGGTGGTCCACTTTATGAAGATGGAAAGCAACCCCCAGAACAGGGCACATCAGAGAAGACTTGATGATGACTGACAAGGGTATACCCCTAACTGTGAGGCTTTTGAACATGCGGCCAGGTTGTGGGGGCCAGCCGTATGTCTGAAGTCATAAACCATGCAGTCAGATCATACTTCCTCACAGAGGTGCTGTTTTTATTCTTGTTTTGTTCATAACAAAGTGTGATGTGTTTGGGTGCCTGATGTTGATTTACATACCAATCCTTTGCCTTGATATTACGTTTTAGATGCATTTGGTGTGAGTAGTATTTTGATCTTGAGGTTCATCACAGGAATATGTAGCTGTACCAAAAAGAATATTTAAAAAAATGATGGATGTATCCAGCCTTGGATACATGGATCAATATTTAAAGAAAATAATTGGTACAATAACATTTTTGTGGATTGATATACAATTTGTTCTGTGATATGTTTGCAAACAATTATAGGGACCCTCCAGAAGAACACTTTGTAAAATACAGTACAATAAAGGATTTCTAGGAGTTTCCTCAAGAAGATTAATTTTGAAGTAAGTCAAGAGTGTTTAGGATATTACATGACACATGCTCATGCAGGGACAATGATACAGTTACAATACACATGTGTAAATGCAGTAGGTGTGACTTTAAACAATAAACCTACCTCACAGTGTGTATCAAGTATTTACAAAGAACTTCTGTCTGGATTTTTGTGTGGCTTGTCTGACATGAATATGAAATAGTAGTAAGGAGAACAGCTTGTTGTCTACGAATGTCAGTTGTTAGGGAAATATTTTAATTTGATGCAATGGTCACATGCTTGCATATTCAACCTACTTCCTTCTTCTGAATGTCATATTGGTGATGGGTGCATGGTGCATGACATGTTGAAATCTACATATTCTGTGGTTGCAGGATTTTATTGTCCTGATATAGCATGTTGACGCATGATACTTCATGAGGTGAGGTGTGGTGAAATTGGGTTTAACATCGCGTCCAAGATTATTGCACTTATATAGCGACGTGCATGTACGTGTATGTGTTTGTGTGGCTGCTTGTACTAGTCCGGACTGATGCCGATTTATAGTGCTAGCTCACTGAGATACAATGCTGCAGATTAACATGAATACCCCACTCAGACACAGTATACTGACTCCGAGCCGACCAGTCCTTGTTTTAGCCCCTTAATGCCGAGCGCCAGACAGGGTAACAACAAGTACCATCTTTTAACGTCTTTTGGTATGACACGGCCAGGGATCGAACCCCAGACCTTCCGCTCTCCGGGCGGACGCTCTACCATTAGACCACGGAGGCGGTCGATACTTCGTGATGAATGACAGCAAATTAAACAGAAGGACATCAAATGTGTGATATATCTCCAAGAAAAGAATTGGTGTTCATATGACATGACTCATTTGACTCAATAACAACTGAATCTGCATCTAAATAAAAAACATGACACAAAAAGCATGAAAATAATAGACTATAGCAACATGCAGCACAATGCAATAGTCTGTGTAAAGAAATAAAAAAATATAGTGTTACCTTTAATATATTGGATTATATGAATTATGTAAAAATTTTAAAGAATTTAAAACCCATTCCACTTAATTAAAATCTAAGCATGCAGTAAAGGAATTTAAAGTAAGAATTCATCTTGTACAAACGTGCAATTGATGAAGAGGTAATGTTATTTCCATCATAATTATTAGGAGTTAGTAAAGATGAAACTTGATAGATGGTTGTGATGCCTCCATGTCGGTTCCGAACAGATAACATTACTCCAATGATATTTCCAACCCATTTTATTTCTCTTGAATACTGTAACATGGGAGCAATTTCTGTTTAATGACATTCAAATGTACATGTTATTTCAGAGAAATTGACAACATAGGACATATTGCATTAATGTTAAACATTTTACAAACATTTATATTTCTGGTACCTTGGTAAACAGCATAACAGTGTGTTCTTACAATTCTTATGATACATTAGTAACATTATTTCCATTTTTTGTGGTATATTTTTTAATTTGTATATTGAAATGATCAAATATGAACTAAAAATGTCTGCATAAACATGTTTCATATTATTGTTAACATGATTTTTACTTACTGGTACATTAAACAAATAAGATGTTTTTTCTCACAATAACCAAAGGTTAGAATTATACAGGTTAGCTTTATTAATTTAGAGATTGTTTGTGCTTACCAAAATAAATTGCATTATTGTTCATAGAAATATGCTCCAACATAATTTGGTAGCGGATTAATAATGCATGGGCTTTCATGACATTTTATCAAGATTTGGATTGAAGACAAAATATGTTGAAATTAAACATGAATCATGAACTGTTTCAGAAAATGCATGTATATCTGTATACATATCTTGAAAGTCATGACAACTCATTTTTACATTTAATTGATATCGGATTTGGAAGATTTTGTGTGTCATTTTCACCAGTGATTATTAAATACTGATAATTTAAACAAGGCATCACATGGTAGACCTTTGGACATTTGAAGGAATAGGGTTGGATTATTTAAAAACTTTATACCTTTCTACAATTTAACAAAGCAAGTCACAATGTTCAATAATCACATATGCGAAAACAAAGCAAAGTTCAACAGAATACTTACATGTATACAAGTGAAACACAACAAAACTATATGAAGGGTGTAAACAAGTCATTTCATTGTTGCACCTTATGCTTATGAGCCATTGGTTTGTAAAAAGGATGATTATCATCAAAAGACAAAATAATAATGTAAAACCTTTAACACTAGCATAAATGCCAGAATTGAGCACTTGTATGTATAGCCATGTTTGACAAATTGCAACATCACAACAAATGTATATTGTATATAAGGAAACAAACACAACTAACAAGTTCAGATTCTATTCACAAAGACATATCTCTTTCTGAACTTCATACAAGTAAATAAGAAAATGAAATTGATAAAAAGAGTTTTTTAACTAAAGGAAACGATACACATTATTGTGTTCTATAAATGCTCATATAGATGTCTAAATGTTGACAAGTTAAGAAGGGAAATGCATTTGTTTGATTGGAATTGGAAGGAATAGGTTAAAAAATTGGAACTTTTGCAGTAAACTGATTGATTGGAAGTTGAAACACCTGAAGAGGTTTTTGCCTGAACTTTATAGCTGTTTGTTTATAGGATACATACACCATGGTAACATGCATAGAAATGCAAATAAATGTACAACATATGGGGGACACTTTCTAAAAGCATCTCTATGATTATCTGAAGTGCTAGAAACTTTCTCCTCCTTGAAGTGATTGGTACATTTGTCAAGCTGTATTCTCTGTTTGGAATACTTCAAAGAAGTTGCTTTACACCCTGTAACAACGCTATAGTTTGTTATTTGATTTGAATTTTTTCTTTTTAGAATGTATCAATAACGGTATCATGCGCCTTGTTATCCCGAACCATCTTACTGTGAAGATCGATGTTCAGATTGAAGTGTTGGTAACAGCAAGTGTAGAATGTATCATGTCCATTGGCATGATGTGTTAAGGCCCAGTCACTTCAAGATCAAGTATGCCACTGAACCAGGTTTCATGGCTTCAGTTGTAAAGGGTTTTCTGATTGGATATTTTGATACATTAACCATTGACTGAAACCATGAAATTTGATTGTCATGTATCAATGACTGTGGAACACTTAACACGAGGGAAAGAAAATAAATGTTGGTGCATGAACTTCATTTAAACAAAAAGAGGAATTTTATGACTGAAGCAAAACTAAACAAAACAAAACATTTGGGGAGTCTATATTCTGTTGTTACCCAGCAGGCAAGTAATGTGTATTGCACTTTAAACATGACAGTGGTGGCACACTTCATAATAGCACATTGAAATAAATGGGTAGATTTAATTAAAATGAGGATATTAAAACTTGTTAGAATCATGATTGAAATTATCTGAATCATGTGACCAATAAACATTCCTCTATTAAGCCTGGAAGTATTACTGTTTTCTGAATAGAGGGAAACCTAGTTTTGTAAAGGAAATGATGAAATAAACTAGGTAACCTGACAATGTGTGTTAGAATGTTTCATAACACTGCATGTGTGATAAAAATGACGCTGTTGTATTATTACAATTAAAACAAAATGTGTATATATAGATATATATATATCTGTTCACAGCATGATAAAACATATCAGTTTGGACACAAATCATATACTATTCATTATGTTAGTAAATGGGACCCAGCGCTCCACTGGACCTGTTATCATACAGTCTGTTACATGCTAATGTTGATGTGAATGTTGTGTGAGTGGCTGAATAATGTTTTAGGATGCAGTCATCAATATTTCAGCCACGAAGGCAGGAGAATGTACTTTTAAGTATCAAATAGTGAGTGTGTTCAATTAAATGATGCAGTCATCAATATTTCAGCCACGAAGGCAGGAGAATGTACTTTTAAGTATCATAGTGAATGTGTTCAATTAGATGATGCAGTCATCAATATTTCAGCCACAAAGGCAGGAGAATGTACTTTAAAGTATCAAATAGTGAGTGTGTTCAATTAAATGATGCAGTCATCAATATTTCAGCCACGAAGGCAGGAGAATGTACTTTTAAGTATCAAATAGTGAGTGTGTTCAATTAAATGATGCAGTCATCCATATTTCAGCCGCGAGGGCAGGAGAATGTACTTTCAAGTATCAAATAGTGAATGTGTTCAATTAAATGATGCTGTCATCAATATTTCAGCCACAAAAGCAGGAGAATGTTCTTTTAAGTATCAAATAGTGTATGTGTTCAATTAGATGATGCATTCATCAATATTTCAGCCACAAAAGCAGGAGAATGTACTTTTAAGTATCATAGTGAGTGTGTTTAATTAGATGATGCAGTCATCAATATTTCAGCCACGAAGGCAGGAGAATGTACTTTTAAGTATCAAACAGTGAGTCAAACAGTGAGTGTGTTCAATTAAATGATGCAGTCATCAATATTTCAGCCACAAAAGCAGGAGAATGTACTCTTAAGTATCAAATAGTGAGTGTGTTCAATTAGATGATGCAGTCATCAATATTTCAGCCACGAAGGCAGGAGAATGTACTTTTAAGTATCAAATAGTGAGTGTTTTCAATTAAATGATGCAGTCATCAATATTTCAGCCACGAGGGCAGGAGAATGTACTTTTAAGTATCATAGTGAATGTGTTCAATTAGATGGTGCAGTCATCAATATTTCAGCCACAAATGCCGGAGAATGTACTTTTAAGTATCAAATAGTGTATGTGTTCAATTAGATGATGCAGTCATCAATATTTCAGCCACAAAGGCAGGAGATAGTACTTTTAAGTATCATAGTGAGTGTGTTCAATTAGATGATGCAGTCATCAATATTTCAGCCACATAAGCAGGAGAATGTACTTTTAAGTATCAAATAGTGAGTGTGTTCAATTAAATGATGCATTCATCAATATTTCAGCCACAAAGGCAGGAGAATGTACTTTCAAGTATCAAATAGTTAGTGCAGTCAAAAGGTGCAGTCATCAATACTCAAGCTGTATCATCGATCTATCAGTAATTGAGTCCTGACCAGACAAGCTACTTATTTAAAGCATCAGTGTCCTGACAGTCGGATCTTATATTCTCCACATGCTACCTCTCTGCATGAAGATCATGACAGGGGAACTTTCTAACCAGCCAATCAGTGTTGAGGCTTCTGAATTCTTTAAGCAAGTGAGCAAAGCATCCAGACAAGTATTACTGTTTTCTTTTTCTGGAAAACGAATATGCTTGGGGAGTTCTGAATGCATAAACATAAAACTGTTGAGGGTATTTTATGCCTCCTGTCATTCAAGAGGGTATAACTGAGTTTATACTATATCAGTCTTCTTTGCTAAGATTGAACGTTCTGAATCAAGGTGATAAAGAAAGGAAACCAAATCATTTTGGAAAGCTGGCGTCTGATTGGCTCAAGATATGCACACATCCTTCATTTAGATAGGATGGTCAAAGTTTGAACAGCCCTCATCTGATGTGACCTTTTATGGAGTGTCGCCATAACTCGATGCATGTATTAGATGAAAATACAAGATCTGAGATTGTGCAGGCATTCACTCCATTTACTCATGATGACAACCATTCATCAAGGTCACTGATTCTGTCCAACAGATCCTCCGACGATAAGTAAGACACTGGCGACATATTTATACCCTTTGGTGTGAAAAATTATTGCAAAGTACATTTCACTTTTTTGACACTGTATCTAGTTCATCTTGTTATCTTTGTAACTGCAAATATTGCTGACTTGTGTGCAGATTCAAAACATGTTCAGTATCGAGAGTAGGGCTGGCAAAAAATAACGATAATCGGAATAATCGTCAATTGGAAGAAATATTAATGAATATCAATATGAAAAATGTGTCCTTGATAATATCTTACATAAACTATTGTGATGAAGTAAAGTTTAGATTTACCAAAACCTGTTATTGTCAATAATGTCAATTGCTGAAGAAGGAAAGTAACTGTTTTTGTTGTATCTCAAAATGTCCACAAAGTAATCCCTGCATAAATGTGCCGCCACTCACCAGTGGAGTGAAATATGTTGATTTCTTTCGGAATTTATTTGCTCAAAATTACCACTCTGTTATTTATAAATAATTGATCGCTATTTAGTTAATGATTATCAATCTCTGTGATCTGTATTGACAGCCAGCCCTAACAGAGAGTTGCTTGAAGCTGTGTCTTTAATTGTCATTGGAATCAGGCTGGCATGCCTTTTACTTGGCTGTATCATTAAACAAGGGATCAGATACTGTAAGTATAACTCAACAGGAGTTAAAGAACCCCCGATTTCTTCAAATGGCTATAGTTAGTCTGTCATGGCTAGAAGGTATTGCAACTCACAGGCTTTCAATCGTGGGTGTTCTTTAACTTGTTTTGAGTAGTATATCAATTGTTGTAAATTTCTTGTGGATTTGATTGTTAACAACAAATATGTTGCAGCAATGGTTTCATGTTTCTGTTATTCAATTAAAGAGTCTATCAACACATATGCTAACCATTATCAATGTAATTTAGTCATTTATATAACAGTGTGTTTCAGATATAGCAATCCAAACTTTCTTACAAACACAATTGGAGGAAAAAACATGTTTTTTAATATTCGTACATAACAGAAATATTTAGAAACATTATCAACAATTTATGTACAGATGGCTATAGGACAGTGACTACAAATCTTGAATCACAGTGGATTCACTTCGATGTGAATTATTAACAATCTGTGGAGTGCTGCATTGACATGTCTGAGGAATGTTTATTCATGGAATCACATTCACAGGCGCTGACAATGTTCTCTCTGGCCTATGTGTAGCTATGTCTGAGATATTCTGTTGGTTACTTGTGGCATTAAAGTGTCATGTTGCTTGTCAGGAAATTCCCAACTGTATGTATGTCCTACAAGCTTGTATTTTTATGATTTTTTTCCAATGGCACTTCTTTGTGGAAATAATTAACATAGCTTTATAAAATATTCAGAAATGTTATTCTTATTACTTTCTGTGAATAAATGAATGTACTTTTGAAACCTGTTTATTGTCTGATTACAGTTTAAATTTGAAATATTTGCGAGGTGTATTTATTCTTAAGAAAAGCAAATCATGGCATATACATTTTTCTAAGTGTTTTACACAGTTTTTGTCATGAATTTCAACTTATTTTTTAAATATAAAAAAAATAATTATATTTTTCAAATTCAGAGACTTTTTCCCAAACTGCTCGTTCTTTGGTTGTGGCTGTTTTTGCAATTTCTGATGCTAATTATTTGTAAAATATTCCTGCAATTACCACAATGTAATCTCTTATGGATGTACACATAGATTCCATTGAGGACCGAGGGCTACAGTAGTCATTTCTGGATTATTGCTAAGTACAGGAAGAGTACAACTCACAGCACAAACATCTAGGTAATATCAAAGTATGTAACAAAAGTAGCTAGCATCACGAAGGGCATTGTACATGTGTTAGAGGATATGTATGATACAATTATTAATACCAAATATAAATCTATCTTGAAAGCACGATAATCCACAGGCACCTTATCTCCATCACAACTGTCTTTGTCTTAAAATATTGACCACTCTCTCCATTCATTATCTCACACCAGAACACAAGTCCACATCTCTCCATCAGCCAGACAGAACTGTTTCCTTGTCCACTCATTATCTCACACCAGAACACAAGTCCACATCTCTCCATCAGCCAGACAGAACAGGTTCCTTGTCCACTCATTATCTCACACCAGAACACAAGTCCACATCTCTCCATCAGCCAGACAGAACAGGTTCCTTGTCCACTCATTATCTCACACCAGAACACAAGTCCACATCTCTCCACCAGCCAGACAGAACAGGTTCCTTGTCCACTCATTATCTCACACCAGAACACAAGTCCACATCTCTCCATCAGCCAGACAGAACTGTTTATATTATCCTTGTCCACTCATTATCTCACACCAGAACACAAGTCCACATCTCTCCACCAGCCAGACAGAACTGTTTATATTATCCTTGTCCCTCATTATCTCACACCAGAACACAAGTCCACATCTCTCCACCAGCCAGACAGAACTGTTTATATTATCCTTGTCCCTCATTATCTCACACCAGAACACAAGTCCACATCTCTCCACCAGCCAGACAGAACTGTTTATATTATCCTTGTCCACTCATTATCTCACACCAGAACACAAGTCTACATCTCTCCATCAGCCAGACAGGACTGTTTCCTTGTCCACTCATTATCTCACACCAGAACACAAGTCTACATCTCTCCATCAGCCAGACAGGACTGTTTCCTTGTCCACTCATTATCTCACACCAGAACACAAGTCTACATCTCTCCATCAGCCAGACAGGACTGTTTCCTTGTCCACTCATTATCTCACACCAGAACACAAGTCCACATCTCTCCATCAGCCAGACAGGACTGTTTCCTTGTCCACTCATTATCTCACACCAGAACACAAGTCCACATCTCTCCATCAGCCAGACAGGACTGTTTCCTTGTCCACTCATTATCTCACACCAGAACACAAGTCCACATCTCTCCATCAGCCAGACAGAACTGTTTATATTATCCTTGTCCACTCATTATCTCACACCAGAACACAAGTCCACATCTCTCCATCAGCCAGACAGGACTGTTTCCTTGTCCACTCATTATCTCACACCAGAACACAAGTCTACATCTCTCCATCAGCCAGACAGGACTGTTTCCTTGTCCACTCATTATCTCACACCAGAACACAAGTCCACATCTCTCCACCAGCCAGACAGAACTGTTTATATTATCCTTGTCCACTCATTATCTCACACCAGAACACAAGTCCACATCTCTCCATCAGCCAGACAGAACTGTTTATATTATCCTTGTCCACTCATTATCTCACACCAGAACACAAGTCCACATCTCTCCATCAGCCAGACAGAACTGTTTATATTATCCTTGTCCACTCATTATCTCACACCAGAACACAAGTCCACATCTCTCCATCAGCCAGACAGAACTGTTTCCTTGTCCACTCATTATCTCACACCAGAACACAAGTCTACATCTCTCCATCAGCCAGACAGAACAGGTTCCTTGTCCACTCATGGCACACACAACATTCAAGCATCTCTTTGTAATGCAGCAGCCTTCAAAAATATATTGCACATTCAGTATTTGTCTGTGTGAAGTGACTCCACATCTTTACCGCCATTTAACATGTGAATCTTCTCATTTATGTGGTCACTTGTCTATGTATAGCCCAAGTAGCATATTTTATTCATAGATCAGACTTTACTGTTTATATTTTTATATTTCTTTGTACTAGGAAAAACCAGGCCATTGTTTTATTGATGAGCCTGTCTGAAAATTTCTATTGCACTTTTTTTCTGAAACTGTACAAGGCTCCGATTGACAGCATACAAAAACAAGGATAATCTATTTATAGAAGTCATTAACAAAGTTGTTCTTTAAATAATGACAACTGCCCAATATTTCACAATGTTATAGTTGCATTCAGAATAAACTATGTTTGTAATATTATTGTAGGTTAACTTCCTTTAAATCTTTGTAAAGTTCAACAATATGTATTCTGAATAATGATTAAATATAATTGGATTACTATAAATGGTCATTGTTTGAGATAAGAAAACCTTAATATTTGTGAAAGATGGAAATATGTTTGAATAAAACAATATAGGAACATATGTTGTTTGACCTTTTTTTTAACAAAACTATACACTGCAGGGCCCCCCCCAAATGAGTCCATGATTGAAGTCCAAAGAAAAGGCAGACCTAACGAAGACCATTGATCAAAGCCTAACCCTGTCTCAGAGTTCCTGATTGTATTGGGTAAATCACGCAAAATATGTCATCATAATCCAATTAGTTTTGAATTGCGGGAAAAATATGCATGAAAAATGTCCAAAAACAATCGTATAACAACACATACATACATGTGCGTAACTATCTTTGCTCTTTTTTGTTTACTGACAGAATGCAGGCTTCACCTATGCATAAACTGTACTGCAGTGATTAATGAACAACATTACTACATCTCGCTTAACACAACTTGTGTCACTGTTGTGAGCTAAGTCGACATCTGACATATTTCAGGCAGCACATGAACAGTAGAAAATTGGAAGTTACCTGAAACAGCAGTTTGAGCATAATTATTTAAAGAATGTTTTCTTGTTGGTTTAATAATACCCAATAGACTGGATTCAAGGAAGTCAAATCATTTCAATAGACAAAGAAAACTATCAAGTACTCAATGGGAATGATTTTAATGAACAATTGCTTGAGCATGGCCAGGCCTCAGTGTCTATAGATTTGACAAACTTTCATTAAGTAAGCTCAATCTGAGAAGGTTGTATAAAACAAAACAGTCCATGTTGAACAAGTTGTGTTTTGCCATAATCCTTTCCCTCAATATGGATTTTGTTCGGTCAGTCGCGTAGATGAAAACTAATCCCAGGTAATATTTCATCAGTAAATTGCTGTCGACATGTTCACCACGTGACCACAGTTTGTATTTTCTTGCATTTTACAAAATGTCTGCCATTTTCAGAAGACGTTTTGAAATATTGAATTTTTCATAAAATACATGTACTAAATAATTCATTATTTGAATGCAACCATACTTTAAATGACTTCATGTTGAACATAGTATCTCTCAACCATCTGCTTACAATAATGCCTTTTGAAGTTCAGAACTTGTCTTCTACCTAAAAATATCTTTCTTTTTTAAAAAATAAATTTAAATCGTTGTGACAAAGCTTTCACATTTAACACTCTGAGAGGGTGTGCCATAACTTGAATGCTGTGTGCTTTGAAATGGAATTCAGCCTGTGCTATAACATATGAATTCAAGCAGTGCATCTCCCTGGCTCATCCTTTCACTACATCATCTCACCGTGATGACTCTGTACATTCTTTGATATGTTTTACGCAAGGCCTCCTTTCACCGTACAACCGTCACCGTAACGCCTGTTACAGGTAGTGCAACATTCATTGCACTTACATACATGGTGGAGTGAGCCACTGTACAAACTTACAGCAGACCCACATCGTCATCTCAGCTCTGCAGCTGCCGTAAACCTTCCAATAATAAAGCAGCAGTAGTGGACCATAGATACTCCCCCATGCATGATGTTGCTCAATAAACCAGGGACAATAACAAGTGATACTTCAGTACATGATATGTGGGTTTATATTCAGGAATATGATTTCTGTAAAGTATGAAAGTAGTTGGACAATAATACTTGTGACCTACAAAATGGCTGCCTTAACATTCTTGAGTTATTTATCTTTGACAGTCGGGGAACATCGTGATAATGTCACCATGTCCTTTTAACACCATTTTTCAGAGTGGATGTCTTCCGTGGACTGTTAGACATGTGACATGTATAAATGAAGTGGTGTAAGGTTAGCATGACTTTCACAAAAAAAGTGTTGCATACATTTGCCGAGTTTTGTTACCTTGAAGCTTTAAGTACTAGTTTGATGGATTTAGTCCTAATAATTTGAACTTCTGATGGGCAGGTTTTAGTAATGAAGCATGACTCTTGTGATGCAGGAATCAAGGTGATATAGAATGACAATAGTGTGGTGACAAATTGAATCTGTTAGCAGCATTAATTAAGGATTTAGTTATAATGAAAATTACCAATAAATAACAGGTTATTTTGTAAATATGTGTAGATCTATGTTAGTTAAAGCCCATTAATGGGCCAATGCAACATAATCACATTGTTCTTACGTATACAGTTCAACAGTCCATCCTGCATTCATTCTGGTACCTTGTCCACACAGACATGCCCAGTAGTAGAGCAGTAAACTGAAGCACCCACCTCTTCCTATGGTCTTCCTAAGTAAGTGATGGCCTTTCACCAGTAAGTACACATTCTGCTTAAGTTCATTACACACTTCACTGCCATTTCAATTCATTTCTTCCGAATACACTGGGAGTAAGCGCTGTCCATGTCAAACCGGAAGTTGGTAATTAGCAACTACCATTTTCTCACTGGACAGTAAAAATTGGGATTTCACCTGAGCACGTGGAGCATGCTTTAGGCAAGTTCTTAGCCCTTTTACTTGATAATTTGAACTAAATCGAATTCTAAAAGGAATGTCCATTTACGATTCTGACTATTATATTATATTATGTTATGTTTGTTTGTTTGTTTGTTTAAAGCCTCATTCAGCATTATGCCAGCTATAGGCTGACTACATTATAAGCCTTCGTTTTTGAATCCCTATCAAAAAGTGATGATACTAGGTGTTTGCGAATAGGAGAACATATCCTGCCCCACAGATGACACCTGTCGCAAACACATACAAAGGCAAATCATGTGTTAACCTGAACAAAATTGCATCGAACATAATTTTTGTCACTGATGTGGACAGTTTTTGTTACTCTGAATCTTTATACGTAGGTCATCTAAATATGAAACAGATCAGTCAGTTGACAGGTCTCTTTTAGTTCAAGATGTTTAGGTAAAATGGCTAAAAACAAGCCTAAACCATGCTCTGGTGAAATCACAAGTTTTACTCTCATGAAGGAAATGATAGTTGCTACCTACAAACATCCAGTTTGGCATGGACAGCGCTTACCCCTGTGCAATATATTCTTGCCTACCTGAACATTGCATTTGAGACATGTACAAAATGAGCCAAACACCTATCTCTTGCTCTGATCGCATTCTGCGTCCTTGCTGCTTTCCAGCATTGTCCACAGCAATGACGTTCTTAGCTGCTTAGAATCTCAGGCCGTCCAATGAAAACTGACAGACTGCAACAGAAAACTGTCATATGTCTACAATGCACAAGTAATCGCAGACAGAAAACATTGAGAACGTAACCCAAAACTAAGAAACAGCATCATAAATCTGAGAGCATGCTGCCGGAACGGTATCATGAAAACAAACCTATACGTGCCCATAACAAGAAGAAAGTTAACCATCATGTCACGAGGATCAACAAACAGCGAGTAAATTTACATCATACAGTGCTAATATAATAATACACCTAAAACATACCGGTATTCTATATTAGGATGGAGGATGTAAATTTACTCGCTGTTTGCTGATCCTCGTGACATGGCGATCAACTTCTTTCTTGTTCTGTACATGCATAGTGTGGAAGGCTGCAGGCAGGGTGTTTTAGTGCTGCCGTTTACATGATTCCGACAACGTGCTCTCAGAATTATTATGCTGTTTCTTAGTTTTGGGTTACGTTCTCAATGTTTTCTGTTGGCAATTCCTTGTGTATTGAAGACATGTGACAGTTTTCTGTTGCAGTCAGTCAGCTTCCATTGGTAGTTCTGAATCTGCTAGGACCACTTTTGTTCATCTTGGGTCTCTTGAGAGCCCTAACACCAGTCATGAGATTGGGACAAACAGGACCTGGCAGAGGATGACCTGGACAAGTCCAATCCACTCATGTGGCACACAGACAGAAAAGAGTGACTTCACATGGCCTGGAATTACCATATGTCACCATTTCTATATCTGCTGCAGCCATGTCCAGTTTCATGCCAGGTTGCATCTAGCTAAAGCAGAGAGACTTCAGCCACAAAGTAGTGATGCTGTCAAAGAATGGCGTTCTTAAAACTGAGCCTTGTAGCACCTAGCCATTGAAGAGAGATGTCTACACCAGGTAGGCGTGCCTCTAAAGAATGTCACTCTCCCTACAACTCTCCAACAACAGAAGGAGTGGGGCATCTAAGTCAGATTTAGCAATATCTATGTAGTTTTCATTTTCAATAAAGTTTTCGTTTGGAATGAATTCTTCCTTTGGTAAATGGTTATCAGATGAGGGGTGTTTACCATTAGTTTCTGGCTTATCATTTGGGGCCTTATTTGTTTCATCAATTGGTTCTTTATCATCTTTGGAAACCTCTGGTTGGGGGTTCTCAACATTATCATTGGTATCCTTTTCAACTTTTTTGCCATTGCTAACATTATCACCTGTGCCAACATTAGATAGAGTTTGCTTTTCTTCTGCATCATTTTCATTGCAAACTCTTCCCCCATCAGCATTGTGACCTGTTTGAACATTGCTGTCAAGAACATTGCTGTCAAGAGCATCACTGCTGCTACTTTCAACATTGTTATCAAGGTTACCATTAGTAGGTTTTTCAACCTTGTCATTTTTTACACTACCAGGTGCAACACTATTATCAGTGAAATTGGAGTCATTAGAAACAGGAGGTGAGTACCTGGAAATTGCAGCAGACTTGGTGACGACCCCAGAATCCCCTGTCGTTGATGTAGTGTGGTTATTCTTGTTGGCCATCTTGACATATTTATTTGCCCCATTTGCCTTCTTCATCTTATCCATCTTGAATGTGTTTGAAAACGAATTAAAATTATCCAAGTTCTTTCGCATCTTTGGGCAAAATATTCGTACAAATGTCCGTCGAAACTTTTGCCCCAAAGCACAGTACAGAATGAAATTCACAGCACTGTTAAGATTCACCAGGAAATTCCGAATAGTTGATAGAATTTTCCATCCAAATGAAGAGTGTACAGCGTTTATGTCGATAGCATAAGCCATATTGTATATAAGAGCTGGCACTTGGAATAGCATGAACAGAAGGACAACCGATATCAACATGATTGTCACATTGTTCTCCCGTGATTGACGAACATTCATATCTTTCCGTTGTGCTTTGGAACGTCTCACAGCCAGTATGAGAAATGTGTTGAGCACAGCCAGTGACACAAGGGGAATAACACACATCACCAAAAAGTAGGACCAGCCGAAGTAGATCTTATTGTACATTGGGTCTTTGTTGAACTCTGTTGGCATGATTATCATACAGGAGTCATTCGTTGGTGGATGGGTGAAGGCAAGCACTTGATATTCAAGCCACCGGGGTATGTTGTACAGAAGAGATACAAAACACACACCAACTATCACCATTCTGGCACGATTGATGGTGCACATGCCAGCTGCTTTTAGAGGGTGACAAACAGCAATATATCGCTCCACAGTGAAGGAAACGGTCAGCCAAATTGTTATCATCTGTGCAACCAGACCCAAAGGGTATATGAATGCCACGATGTAGGGGAAGACTGTGTACTTGTATTCATCAGTGAATTCACCTAAGCTGATGAGGAAGAATGTCACCAAGAGGACGATGGAGTCCCAGATGGCCAGAGCCATGAGGAAGCAATTGGTTGATGTTCTCATGGTCTTGTTGGTAAGGACAATGACTGTCAGCGTGTTGCCCACAAGTCCAAGGACAATGGTGAACAAGGTGATGACTCCATTCAGATAGAAGCTGAGGTCAACTTCCCATTGCTCCAAAGTTGGCTTAAGATTACAGAAATTGGGAGGAGGTTGCATTGCCGTGGTGGTATCACTGCTGTTCCCAATGGTGTAATTGTGGAACAACGCTATTCCTGTTTCATTCATGTTGTGGTCGGGCCAGACAACCGTCTCCATTGACTCACTGCTCATTGTAGAAGATTAGAACACAAGGTCAACCAGTGAAGACACAAGGTGGGAGGAGGTCAGTGTTGGAGACCCGTCAGCATGGTCGTCTGGGGATGGTTTCTGCTCTCACAGCTGTAGTTGCACACAGTTGTCCCAGCTTCATGCCTTGCATCTGGAGGACAAAAAACAAATTTCTTTTAAAGTGAATTTTTGTAAGAACTCATCATGCTTATATATATTTTAGTACACACACATATCAGTACACAAGATCCCTATCTATACACAAAATAAAGTTAGCTTTTACTAGGAGCAAATGCAGGGTTATTGCCTCTTAGCAAGGAGGTGAATCTTAATGTCATCTCTGTAATCCATATACACATGTCCAACCAATAAAAAAATTAATTTGGTAATTTCTCAGGAGCGAAAATTCATTGCCCCGTGGGTATATTGTCAGTTGAGGACATACATGTGTATAACTTTACACTTTCATGAAGTCTGATTTGTTGAGGCTGATAATTTGTCCTTAATTCCCATATCAAACATATATTAGCATCCATAATGAAGCTCCAGCAGGTGGAAGAACGCATCAGTGTTGTCCTAACAAGGTAATGATGCAGATGTTTCGACACTGATAACATGGGTCCATCTTCAGCATGTCTCCATCTTGGATTCAAACCTCGCACACCCTCCATGACCCAGTAGGGTATGTCGTCTGTCAGCAACATGTATAAGTAACCAGTGAGGATGAAGGAAGTAGTGATGCATTATGCTGAAGCAACTTGCAACCCCCTTCTCAAAAGACTTTTAGAATATTATGCTCAGAAAAAAATCTCCTTCAGCGAATTCAGATAAACAAACATGTATTAACAAGCTTGGTCAGTATACATTTGAGATAAGAAGTCACTAGACATTTTGATGTACCATTTAAATTGTATTTCCTGTTCTGCCAGACATTGTTTTACATACTGTGATTCAGGTTACCGTGCATTTATGATATATGTATCCATTCTCTGGCAACTAATGTTCATTTCAAGGCATCAATAGCGGTAATCTGACTGTCGTTGCTGTGTATAACGGTGAGTTGTGCGATGTACCAATCACTTCACACACGATTTTGCCGAAATTATTGTAAGCAATATTGAATGGAATTTTGAATAAAATTAATAAAACAGATTACAAACATAAGTCAAGATATACAATGAACACTTTTTTAACCAGACAGTGTACATACAAGATTAAATGACCTATTTCGGTACAGATGTATTGACATGGTATGTCAGGTGTTATGTGTTCATTGTAATGTCTTTGCATCGGGGAAAAGAAACATCAAAACTCTTTATAGTGTGTATTATGCACACACCTCTCTACACAGCTCTGTTGTTTTTTTAAAATGTATGCGCAATACTTAAGAAAATAAGGTATTAACACAATTCTAAACCATATGTAGTTTTTGTTTTACAAAGTCCTTCCTATGCCCTTCTCTTACCTTGTACCCACTCCAGTAAAACAATCCTCCTGTGCTTCAAGGTATCCTATAACAGTCCCCACCTCCACTACCTTATCATGGATAATCCTGAGAGCAAGTCAACATTGGAGGACGTTTGATAGACGCAACACTTGTAGCCATCTTGGGCATGTCAAGTGAGGCACTCACCCATTGAAAGCGAGACCCAAGTCTCGGTGACGGCTTTGTTCACAGTTTGTTTTCTGCAGCTCAGGTTTAATGTCACCATCATCTTGCGTGCAGCAGCTTTAGTTACAGGGTGACCAGATTCACATTACTTGTATACATGTTCAGGGCTGATGAGTATCACCGCATGGCCCTGACTGGCATTGTAAAGGGATATCTGTTGGCTTTGGGACACTGTGGCTACTTAGATATGGGCTCCTATCATGTTATCATCTTGTTCATCACTCCACAATGCTACAACCTGCCAGTGGTATTGCCTCCAAGGTACTTCAATCAGAAATTAGCATGTTTTTATTAAATAAAGGATGTTCATGACTAGTTTTCCCAGAGGGTCAATGGTTTAACATTTGAATTATTTTGTTTGACTTCCTGTAAGCTTTCTGGCTTAGTTTACAGTACATTCGCCCTGTGCACTCAAAAGGACCCACTCATCCATTGGCAGATGACCAGATGGTGGAAACACGAATACCTACAGACACCCGAAGCACAAGTGTCAAAACTTGTGGTGTCACCCTGGGCAAGTGACTTAGTTCAAATGTGCCTCTGTTCACCCAGCAGGGAATGGGTACCCGATATGTGAGGTTGATGTAAAAACCTTCTCGCACTCCTAGGCAGCTTGGGTTGTATACTCCCCAGGGAGTTGAGAATGCTAACTGGAAAGCAAACGGATCCACTGCTCGGGGGACAAATAAAACTGCATTTGAGCAGATACCAGTACCTGGAAACCTGCGGTATACAAATGTATAATATAATATTAATAATTTATTTATTTTTTTACTTTCTTCACATTATTTTTTATATAGGAAACATGTTCCTAATTTGTCTATTAATGTACAGTATTTATGGTCATAGTTGATGTTGGTTTCTTCTGTTTTTGTGTGTGTCTATTCCTATGTAAAAAAACATGATATCAGTACATTTAGCAGACCTTGGAGCTAGAACATTTGAACTTTTACCATGTGAAATGGATGCATTATAATTGAAGATCTGTTAGTTTTTTCATGCATTTTGTACAATCTGTATGAGTTCATCTGGCTCTGTGACATTTTGCTCAAGGACCCCTGATGGTATCTATGACTCCCATTATGGTAAGCCAAGCCTAAAGTCACAGGATGACAGACGTGATACCTACAATACTGAGCTTGAGTGGCAACTAGATATGTGGAAACATGGAGATGATCTTAAACTTCATCGCTTCTGGGCATGGAGTTGTATACTCCTGACAACTTACAATAGGTTTGTTGATGATCATTATCTGTATGTTATAACCCTAACAACTAATGACCATGGAGATACTGTACATCTGATAGTATCATGAAGTGGTACTTTATATAGAATGTTTTAGGGCTTATGTCGTTACCCACAGAAACACTCCTTAAAACTTCACAGGTGACTTTGTTTGAAGATGCCTCAGTTCACCTGGCAGTGAAGGGGTACCTGGAAGGATTAGATGATTATACTGATGCAAAACCTGGCAACTAATAGACAGCATTGGCTGTATACTTCTCTAGAAACTGAGAATCTAACCCCTCATTTAACCGGTGGAAACAAGATCAGTAATGTCCTTCCTTTGGAGCAACCCTTCATTTGACTGGTACAGAAAATGGAAATAATCGCATGATCTTGCTTACATCATTTTCCTTGTAGAATAATATCATTCTTTCAGAGTGACCCTTCAGTTGACTTGTGCAATAATGTCAATATTGTCCTGCTTTCGGAGCAACCCTTCAGTTGACTTGTACAATAATGTCAATATTGTCCTGCTTTCGGAGCAACCCTTCAGTTGACTTGTGCAATAATGTCAATATTGTCCTGCTTTCGGAGCAACCCTTCAGTTGACTTGTACAATAATGTCAATATTGTCCTGCTTTCGGAGCAACCCTTCAGTTGACTTGTGCAATAATGTCAATATTGTCCTGCTTTCGGAGCAACCCTTCAGTTGACTTGTAAAATAATGTCAATATTGTTCTGCTTTCGGAGCAACCCTTTAGTCAACATGTACAATAATGTCAATATTGTCCTGCTTTCGAAGCAACCCTTCTGTTGACTTGTACAATAATGTCAATATTGTTCTGCTTTCGGAGCAACTCTTCAGTTGACTAGTACAATAATGTCAATATTGTCCTGCTTTCGGAGCAACCCTTCAGTCAACATGTACAATAATGTCAATATTGTCCTGCTTTCGGAGCTACCCTTCTGTTGACTTGTACAATAATATCAATTTTGTCCTGCTTTAGGAGCAACCCTTCAGTTGACTGGTAAAATAATGTCAATATTGTCCTGCTTTAGGAGCAACCCTTCAGTTGACTAGTACAATAATGTCAATATTGTCCTGCTTTCGGAGCAACCCTTCAGTTGACTGGTAAAATAATGTCAGTATTGTCATGCTTTCAGAGCAACCCTTCAGTTGACTGGGAAAATAATGTCAATATTGTCCTGCTTTCGGAGCAACCCTTCAGTTGACTTGTACAATAATGTCAATATTGTCCTGCTTTCGGAGCAACCCTTCAGTTGACTAGTACAATAATGTCAATATTGTCCTACTTTCGGAGCAACCCTTCAGTTGACTAGTACAATAATGTCAATATTGTCCTGCTTTCGGAGCAACCCTTCAGTTGACTTGTACAATAATGTCAATATTGTCCTGCTTTAGGAGCAACTTCTCTGTTATGTTGAGTTTTGCACTGGCCTAAGTGGCCTATTTATTGATATGTTGTATGAATTATACAAGAACACGAATAACAGGATGATACATCTGCTCTATCTCTACATCTGAGGTGAGATGAGATTAACAATGACTGGTCAAATTCTGTTGGACATTATCATGGTGATCTAGTATTGTTATAACAACTAATTTTACGTAATTCAAGGAATTTGACAACTTTCAGCCATATTTTCTACATACTCGTCAATCCAGAATCATGCATTGCAACTTGTCACTGTTGCAGGATATGCTTACCCTTTTCTTGAACACATGGTGTCATCACTGATTTTCAGTGATTTATTCATAAAATTTTCACTGCTATTTTGGCTTTTATGCCAAATGGAATTTGTTTCAATGGATAATTGAGACTGGTTATTTTCTGGAATTGATGTTTTATGTTATTTATCATAAAAGCATAAAAAAGTCAATGTTCTACTGATAATGGTATAAGAAGTAATGGATAAAGACAAGTATTAAATGCCCGTTTTGTTAACATGGCCTTTGATAATCAGATTTGAGCTATGATCATTAGCTCTGGCTATTATCCTATGCTCCTCAGGGAGTTCACACAGAGTGATCACTGATGATACTGAAAGGTGGATGGGTTGGTGAATGTATGAACCCTCAAACAAAACAATTCAAATATCAGGTCAAGACTGGTTATAATTTTTTTTTAATACCTGTTCTCCTAAATTCACATGATTTATATTGTGTGTGAAAGGGAGAGTTGGCAAGACGAGAAACGAGAGAAAATCAGATTACTTTCCTTCTATTGATATCCGGAGGCTAAAAATTATTTTTGGACAAAGAAGAAAATTTACAAGTTTTCTCAAGATCAAGAAGGCATGTATGTTTGAATATATTTTCATTGATCATGTTAGTAATTAAATACTAGTGTTAGATAAAAAACACAAAAGTACAGACAGCCTGAGAGCAACTTGTGGTTGCCATGCATGGAGCTGATGTGTTAACCAGTGATTTATGTGTTTGTTTCTTTGTTTAAAGTTGCACACAGCTATATTCCAGGTATTTGACATCATCCTGTAAATAATCGAGTATGGACCAGACAATCCAGTGGTTGATATTGTGAGCAACAATCCACGTTATCAGGGTACAATACCTGCCATCAATGTTGTCACCTAGCGTGAGATTAGTCACATCTTGTGAACGACATCGGTTGCCTGGACCAATTCTAACCCGGAATTCAATGTACTGTATAGTATGGAATATACTTTTTGAGACCCAAGTCTGAAGGAGTAGAAGAGCAGGATGGTTGATAATATTAAACCACTTCCTGTGAACGTATTCAGCACGTACACCAGTTCATGGTGAGAAACCGATAGAAGTCTTCACAGAGTACAATATGCCTGGATGTAAATATATAAATTGGGAGAATTATTACAACCATTAACATGTTCGATAAGACTCATTATACATTCTTTTCATTTTATGGTTTCTTAAAACTACGCTTATGAACTTTAGAAAAGTATAAAATGTTAAATTATTTTTATTGATAAAATGTCGCCTTTACATCTGTACATCTCATCTGCTATGCTCTGCATCATAAATTTGTCATGCACATTTGTCTGTTGAATAGAAATTAAGAAATAACTACAATTGTGTTGCAAGATCCAATATCAAGGTATATTGAAAACTGCTGCTTCTTGTATTAATTATCAGCTGATAAGAATGATATTCACATTTACATTGATTTTTGGGAACACACTTTGTTAAACATCCAATACCAACGGGTACACAACAAGTTATGAACACTTTCAAAATGAATGTCAGGAAAGTGAAAATGAGAATGTGTTAGCAATTAATATAGCGTCCATCTACACTAACGTAACTAGGTCAGCTGGATAGACTTTAGGTTTAGGTTGAGTCATTCTGACGAAAATTAGAAAACAAAATATATCTATATCATTTTCCACGAGAGAGTACTTGACAAGACTTGGCATAATTTGCCAGTTCCTTTCATGCTACACTCTCCATGATAAGTGTTAGTCAAGCTCATTAATAAACTAATAAATAAGATTCTTATCTCTTGAAGTGATGGGAAAGGACATGAAGTTTGCTAATGAATGAAACATATAACATGATAACTTGTAGGGGTTTCTCATCATTGGTATGTTTTGGATGATAAAGACGGCGATGACACAACCTGCAAACAGGTTTAGTTATGAAACCCCTACATCACGGACAGAAGATAGATGATTAACACAAGACATATTTACCTGGTAATTGTTGTGTGGAGTCGTACCACGCGTGACACCATGTTATGTGGCTTGATGCGAGTATCAGGGGCAGACTCTGTGAGATCACTCATGTGTGGAGACGACTCTCCTGCCTTACAATTCACAACACAATGACCAACAGAGTTGGGCTCTCTTGCGCTGTGATGCTCGCAAGGCTGGCTTGGGACTTGCCCAACTGGCTTAGATGCACAGTGCTTGTGGGTATCTGCAGATAAAGTATGTGGGTTTTAACGAGCTGGCACGATTCTACTTTTATTTATTATTCATAGAAAAGTTGTGAATCTGTGCACATATTTCTTAAGTAGTAAGCTGTTATTGATAGTTTGTATTGTGATGTAATTCAAAGATGTGGCTTTTTTAATAAGCATGCTTCAGAGTTGCAGCTGCTTGTTAATCCGGATGTGTTTTAAAAATATTTCTTAATAGGGATTTAAATATTCATCATGTTGGGATGTGTGGATATTTGAGTTTTGCGGTAAACACAAATGATACAGTATGATTTAGAATGGGTAATGGGACGTTATATCCCGATATAAAAGTCGGGTTTCGCGCAGGACATTACGTAGAGGGGAATGTCCGAGTAACTCTCCATTCCTTAAAAATAATGGAGCAGAGGACCCGCAGGGGCCGAGGCCCATTATTTTTAAGGAATGGAGAGTTACGAGGATATTCCGCTTCTTAAAACTCATTCCTACTTTTAGACTTCGACAAAATATTCTGTAGTTGAAAATATTTGAAAAATTCAAATGCTGCTTCAAGATGATGTACAGTTGACAAGCAACTCTCCATTCCTGAAAAATAATGGAGCGTTCAAACAATAGAATGACGTCACAGATGTGTTTTAATTGTTGGGTAAAACATGACTCCAAGGTTATACTTTCCCAAGTATGACTGAGGAGTGACTTTTCTTGCTTAGGTACCAACAATAGCGATCAAATATGTCAGAATAAATTGAGAAATTATTTCAAATTACAAACAAAAACAAATATTGGTTGCTTTGTACCCCATACAGGTTTGGACTCGACCACCAATTTCACAACGCATATTTCTCATGACAACAATGAGTGCCTAGCTATTTCTTTCATCAATTAAAAGACAAAAGGTATTTGGAGGTGGTTATGAATTTTGATAGCTAAAATTTGGTTGGTAGGTGGAAGAAAAACCATAAAATAAACTGTATTGTACAGGGTTTTTATAATCATTAAGTTTTTTATTTTGATCGGAAGGTGATTAAAATGATAACATTTTGGCCTGGTTTGAATCATTTATAGATCTATTGGATAATTTTTATTGTATCGTCGGTATAGATAAACTGTTCTGATTTTAAATTTTTCTGAAACTTTAATTTTTAAGGTCAAGGCTTCATAAACTGAGGGAAAAGGGCCTAATGAAGTTAGAGATTGTGTGAATGTTTCAGAGTTCCATAACAAAGATTAATGTGAGGTTTTCCTTCAGAATTCTTGATATCAACTGATATAATTGATTAATCACACAGAAACCATGACACTCACTTAAATCAGTGAAATAACCATTACAGACTGTCAAAGCAATTGGGGTTTCTTGGAGAAGAACAATCTATCTCAGTGTTGGAATCATGAGGAATTGTTTAATAGTTAATTACTTTATTGATGAAAACATTATCATACAGATTTTGTAGAGAAGTATTGCTTCGGAATCGATCCGATAAACAGTTCTAGGTATAGTCTATTAATATTTCAGAGATGTGCCGCAGTGCAACACAAATCAAGGTATGTGATATTTCTGCAGTGAAATTACGAAATTTGAGATCAAAGGTCTGAGGAAGTTTGATATTTCTTGAATATGTTACTATGAAGTTTGTAAAAAGTTGTGCAGTATTTGCGGTTCTTAGAAGTGTCTGAATGTTGAAAGGTCGCTTGATGTTCTCGTTATGAGCTTTGCTTCATTCATGTTCTTATGGAAAAAGCAGTTAAAAGGTGAATAAAATAACATGTAATTTTAGTTTATGCTATATTTCTTACTTATGTATATACTTTTTTGAATAATTTTTGAATACTCCCTTTCCTCTTAAATATACAACAACCACTTCCATGGTAGAGTGTCCGCCCGGGAGAGTAGAAGGTCAGGGGTTCAATTCTCGGTTGCGTCATTTCAAAAGTTAAAACAAGGACAGGTCGTTTCAGAGTCAGTATACAGTGTCTTAGATGTGTATTCATGTGGTGGTTTAACCCCATTTCACCTCACCTTAAAAACCTGAGTCAGTATACAGTGTCTTAGATGTGTATTCATGTGGTGGTTTAACCCCATTTCACCTCACCTTAAAAACCTGAGTCAGTATACAGTGTCTTAGATGTGTATTCATGTGGTGGTTTAACCCCATTTCACCTCACCTTCAAAAACCTGAGTCAGTATACAGTGTCTTAGATGTGTATTCATGTGGTGGTTTAACCCCATTTCTCCTCACCTTAAAAACCTGAGTCAGTATACAGTGTCTTAGATGTGTATTCATGTGGTGGTTTAACCCCATTTCACCTCACCTTAAAAACCTGAGTCAGTATACAGTGTCTTAGATGTGTATTCATGTGGTGGTTTAACCCCATTTCACCTCACCTTCAAAAACCTGACACAACAGCTGAACAAGCAACAAATACACGTTTGAGTATGGTATGTTGCACAATATTCTAATTTTCAAACACGTTTTTATGTGGATTGTGTTTGTACAACGGACCATGCACTCATTTTTTAAGGCCCTGTTGAATATGAGGATTGTGTGCTGTTTTTGCTGCAGTAGTGTGATGTGCACATTTGTTGTGATCCTGGTTGATTGCATATTCATGTGTTTTGGGATTCATATCGAATGTTTGAAGATGAACCAGTAACTGTTGATAAATAGACGTGGGTATTCAAAGGTCATTCCATGTGGTTGTGATAGGAAAATGCTGGTAATATAAGGATGGAAATGAATGAGATAACCCTAAAAAAAGATATGGAAATAAGTTTTACTGTCATTACATTTGAAATAGTGCACATGTCAGTACACATGTCAGAATCAAATGTTGAGATGTGTTTGTGTGCATTGTTTCCAACCCGTATTTGGTTGACAAGGCTAGGAAACCATGGAAGCATATAAATTTACTGTGTCTAAAACTAAGTGTATATACAGGTATATACAGATATATACAGGTGAACACTGATTGATCCCCCATTGGTGCTAGCAACACTCACTCACTCACTCACTCACTCACTCACTCACTCACTCACTCACTCACTCACTCACTCACTCAAAACCAACCCATGCACTCACTCACTCAAATACTCTCAATCACAAACTCACCCACTCACCCACACACTCAATCAATCAGAACCCACCCAAACATCAACACAATCACTCAAAACTCGCCTACCCATCCACCCACTCAATCAATCAATCCCACCCAACCATCCACTCACGTCTCAATCAATTATAGAGAAAATACATTCCCACCCTGGCTGTCAAAACAAGTTGCTGGAAAAGCCGAGACTGTCTAACACCACTTGTACTAATTGCTGTAACATTTGACCTGTCTTTCATTGTTACCAAGAGGAACATTGCAGTCGCGCTCTGCACCAACTGGAGCTGAACCAGTATGTCAAGGCCCCAATCAATGCTGGGACTGACAGCATCCCTTAATGGCAACACGGGGCTATTATATTCAAAAGGTCTGAAAATTTGTTTTGTACTTATATCAAATACCCAACATTAAATAGGGAATGCGGTGGGAAGATGAGCTTTAAGGTAAACTAAGATGTAGGCCACAAGATAATGACATACGATATGATTCAAATCTTTCGCTCAAATCCATTAACATATTAACACCCCTTAGAAGTCAGAGGTGACACAATTTGTAACTTCGCTTATTTTGTGTGGGTCGTTACCATACCTTCAATCATTGGTTGCCATGTCCAAGCTAAATAAGAGGCCTCCATGATATACAGTAAACTACATTTATAGCAAACGAACTGACGTTTATAACAAACTGTTTTTTGGTCCTGGTCATTGGCTGTATATTTTATTATATAAAATTAATGGAAAAAACAAACACGCTTGTAACGTGATAATGGATATAGCATGCAGCTGTTGAAAGCAGCAATAAACAGTTGAAGGCAAGTGATTATCTGGATTAAGTACTGACACCTTGTCCTCATTTTACTCCCTCAATTAACAATAGTAAAAACGTGATTAAGCTATAGCCTTTGAAGTGGATATATATTCAGTCAAACAACGAACTACGGTTATAAAAAAATAGAATAGTGGCTGACTATAACTATAGTTGACTGTAGCTGGATGAAATTTGACTACAGCATTCAACACCATGCACTCTCACAGTTTAGCAGGGGCTGTGGGTGGCCCAGTTGTCTTACACTCTGCTGTTTGCTTGGGTCGTGGGTTCAAATCCCATATTCGACCTAATTATCTTTTAAGTTTTGTCAGCACCAATCCCATGCTAGTGGTTTCAGCAAAGTTGGAAATATCTAAGACCTGCATCACTTCCAGATCTCCTTCCAGCTATGCTGACGTGCTGTGATGTTACTGGAATACTGTTCAGTGCTCAACAAACTCACTCACTCATCATGACAAGATGTGTTCCTCCCTTTGTTAATACCAGTGAATGTGGGTTCCCTGTTGAGTAGCACATTCTGCTTCATCCCCCTCAGGGAGCCTGAGGCAGTGTAAGACCTACCAGCCCACACTCGTTTAATTAGGATGGGTGATTAGAATTTATCATCCAAAACTGGCTTCCACATGAGATCAAGTGATAGGAGCTCTCCAAGGAGATGTGGTGGCAATGAAAGTGCATTACAATACTTGCAGGCTATTGTGACATCATGTGTTACCATGACATCACAATCAAACATGACATCATGTGTTACCATGACATCACAATCAAATGACATCACTGATTTTTCTGGCACTGAAGCTGGTTAGCTGTGCAAGATGCTGCTCAATACTGATTGCAAACTGAAAAGTTGAGAGAATGATTTGGATGATAAATAGAATCTTACAACTGTGTCTTTTGATATGAAATATGTCAACCCTCATTTATAGAATCCTTGGTGTTCATATATATTATATGTCAAATGATGCTTATGGAGATGTCTCAATGTTGCTATACTCACTCACTAACTCGTAACAAGCTCTGTCATCATAACTGTAGCTGTGTGTCATAACTGTAGCTGTGTGTCATTGGAACGAGCCTCCATTTCTGGAGTCCCCCGCAGTAATATTGCCATTATATTGCTAACAGCGACATAAAGCCATACTCACTCACTCATAACAAGCTCTGTCATCGTAACTAATAGCCACGTGTCATCACAACTGTAGCTGTGTGTCATATTTATCGCTGTATGTCATCGTAAATGTAGGTGTATGTCATCGTAACTGTAGCTGTGTGTCATCGTAACTGTAGCTGTGTGTCATCATGACTGTAGCTCTGTATGTCATTGTAACTGTAGCTGTGTGTCATCGTAACTGTAGCTGTGTGTCATCATAACTGTAGCTCTGTATGTCATTGTAACAAGGTCTGTATGTCATCGTAACTGGAGGTGTATGTCATCGTAACTGTAGCTGTGTGTCATCATAACTGTAGCTCTGTATGTCATTGTAACAAGCTCTGTATGTCATCGTAACTGGAGGTGTATGTCATTGTAACTGTAGCTGTGTGTCAACGTAACTGTAGCTGTCATCATAAATGTAGCTCTGTATGTCATTGAAACAAGCTCTGTAATCGTAACTGTAGTTGTATGTCTACGTAACTGTAGCTGTGTGTCATCGTCATTGTGGCTGTGTGTCATCATAACTGTGGCTGTGTGTCATAACTGTGGCTGTGTGTCATCATCACTGTGGCTGTGTGTCATCATAACTGTAGCTGTGTGTCATCGTCACTGTGGCTGTGTGTGATCATAACTGTAGCTGTGTGTCATCGTCACTGTGGCTGTGTGTCATCATAACTGTGGCTGTGTGTCATCTTAACTGTGGTTGTGTGTCATCATAACTGTGGCTGTACATCATCTTAACTGTAGTTAGATCTCATCATAACTGTAGCTCTGTGTCATCGTAACTGTAGCTGTATGTCATCATAACTGTAGCTGTATGTCATCGTAACTGTAGCTGTATGTCATCATAACTGTAGCTGTATGTCATCGTAACTGTAGCTGTATGTCATCGTAACTGTAGCTATATGTCATCGTAACTAGTTGTGTGTCATCATAACTGTAGCTCTGTGTGTCAGCATTACTGTAGCTGTATGTCATGGTAACTGTAGCTATATGTCATCGTAACTAGTTGTGTGTCATCATAACTGTAGCTCTGTGTGTCAGCATTACTGTAGTTGTATGTCATCGTAACTGTAGCTGTATGTCATCGTAACTGTAGCTATATGTCATCGTAACTAGTTGTGTGTCATCATAACTGTAGCTGTATGTCATCGTAACTGTAGCTGTATGTCATCGTAACTGTAGCTATATGTCATCGTAACTAGTTGTTTGTCATCATAATTGTAGCTCTGTGTGTCAACATTACTGTAGCTGTATGTCATCGTAACTGTAGCTGTATGTCATCGTAACTGTAGCTATATGTCATCGTAACTAGTTGTGTGTCATCATAACTGTAGCTCTGTGTGTCAGCATTACTGTAGCTGTATGTCATCGTAATTAGCTGTATGTCATCGTAACTGTAGTTGTGTGTCATCGTAACTGTAGCTCTGTGTGTCAGCATTACTGTAGCTGTGTGTCATCGTAATTAGCTGTATGTCATCGTAACTGTAGTTGTGTGTCATCGTAACTGTAGCTCTTTGCTGTCACCTGGTTTGTCAGACCAACGATGGATTAGTTCTGTCTGACCTGGTATGGCTGAACAACATTCAACCAGTCACTTCTTTCCGGTGAAGCTCATGTACCACCACTAATGAAGAACACAACCATGCTCCAACTATTCCTGATGATAATAGGGACAATTTAATTGCCTTCAAGAAAAACTAGTAAATTAAGTTGCTTGCTAAATAATGAATATTCTGTATGATTTACTGTTGACCTATCAAAAATAGCATTGGTAGTTTGCATGACTTTCTGCAGGAACTCAGGTGTGACTGTTGTGAGTGAGATGGTTTCACCATGACATTGAACAGTGACTGAGCTATATTACATACAGTATGTGAGTAAATGTGAGAGTAAGGCCCAAACTGACATTCCCTATGGTGAAATCCATGGGCATGTGCATGAGCTGACAACAATGGATCAATGAGCTAACTACTGTGGATCAATGAGCTGACAACAATGGATCAGTGAGCTGACAACTATGGATCAGTGAGCTGACAACAATGGATCAATGAGCTGACAACAATGGATCAGTGAGCTGACAACAATGGATCAATGAGCTGACAACAATGGATCAGTGAGCTGACAACTATTGATGATTAGCGAATTATGGTGACTGTTCAAACCTCAACCTGAGATTAGTTACTTATTTGACAAAATAAGTTTTGTGTCTTACATATTTACTTTTGATTTTACATCATGTCAATGTTATTTCACCCCAGTTTACATAATTTTTATTTTTATGTTTTGTGTTCAGTGTAGTATTTCATCACTGAACACGAAGGTTGTTTTCCCATCTTATTGTTTATTCCTTTTTCTTTTCTTTTCTTTTTTTGTTCCATATTTTCAAATATTCAAGCTAATGGACGCCCTCTCCACCGGCCTCCCAATGGGACTGCCATGTCACTTGCATGCACTGAAGGTGATTGGGGCAAATAGGTTCTGACCCTGTTGGGATTCTTGGGAAGAAATGGCTTGCCATGTTTGTCATAGCGGTGAATAATTCAGGTATTGAGGGTAACAATGGCAGTTAAGGATGAATAGTGCTTGGTCGTTACCTGGTTGATTATTTACACTCAGTTGAGCATTGTGTTTGCCCGCATTATTGCAACTAAATATATCAATAACTACAACTGCTGTGATAAAATTGGACTTCACATCAATGATTTGTTGGGTGTCCTTGTGCTCATGCTTTCAATCACTGGTTTATCTTGTTTAGGCTTGAATATTTACTGGCCACTTCGAACAGGCTAGAATATTAATACAGATTCCTTGGGGATTCCAGTTTAGTAGAGGTCTTCAGCAGACCATACTTGGACGTGGCGACTTAATGGATTGGGCTGTCACCCTTGCATGTCAATGCAACCAATGAAGATCCGGGGTAGACTAAATCTTCAGCAACCCTGTAAAAGGCGACTGTAAAAGGCGACTATGCTTGTCGTAAGAGGCGGCTAACGGGATCGGGTGGTCAGGCTTGCTGACTTGGTTGATGCATGTCATCAATCTCAATTGCGTGGATCGATGTTCATGATGTCAATCACTGGATTGTCTGGTCCAGACTCGATTATTTACAGACTGCCATCATATAGCCGGACTATTGCTGAGTGAGGCGTTAAACAACAAACAAACAAACAAAGCATGTCAATGCACCCTGCTTCTGACATGGCCCACTGGTTCATCTTGTCTCAATCACTGACAGGCAACACGATGTTTATCATGAAGCTGGGATACAGCTCAGTGGGGCAAACAAACTATACTTCTCCGTTTGTTAACTTTTCACATGTTTGAAAAGTGACAGCATATCTTAACTTGATAAATGATTCTGACATCACTAAAGCATTTTTGAAACAAAGTTTCGGAACTGGGCTAATTTTACCTGGATTGATCAGATATGCAGGATTAAGTGATGGAGGACTATTGAAGGAACAGCCTTACCTTAAGGGTGTGTGTACGCTGCATTGGACTCCAGCAATATATCTCCCAGTAGAATGTACTCAGTTTCTTCTCAAGGAGCCTCACAAACACAATCTAACCTGTAAGTATTTGCTTGATATACTCGATCTTGCTCTGTGCAAACTGATCTGGGAACACGTTCTATGACTTGGGGGAGGCTTTCACATGCTAATGAAACCTTCTACCTATGGTGCTGCGTTTAGCAATTGATGTCAGCAGGCCTATAGAAACACAGGATGACTTCCTACAACACGCCACAGTGAAGGCTGCTTGCTGAGGAGAGGCAGAAGTAATACTGTTGTCAAGTATTGGTCACGCTGGGGAAGAAACAACTACAACTATGCTTTATCAACAGAAACTGTCCAATCCTGTTCTAGGAAAATACCACCTGTAGTGTTCCGAGGTGATAGTGTGTGTCACGCTTTGATAAGTTGTTACAGTTTTTAACAGAGAATATACATTGAATTTCTTTTGTTGATCATAAATTATTGAATGTTACAGAAGCTCTTTGTTTTATGTTAATTAGGATTGTTGATAAGATGCTACAGTTTTTAACATGAAGTATACGTGTTTGAAATGAATGTTTGTTAAAATATCATTTTTTAAATTTTAAAGATACCCCCTGTTTTGTGTTGGTGAAGATTTGGGCTGAAATACTGATTAAATGTGTTGTTTCAGACAAGCATGATGTAAATAATTAACAGTTTCAATTTTTAAAAAAAAGTTTTTAGTTGTCTCATCTCATTTCCTCACATCCTAAATGGATCTTTTGTCTTGTGAAATAATGTACTGTATGTAAACGTACAAAGTTGAAATAGATTTTTTCAAAATACATTTTATAATTTTGCATTACAGTGCAACACAGATAATTCCTTTACGGCGTCAATTCAACATTTTCTTATCAAGGAACTCTGTTATTTTTCCCTGCCATGAAGTAGGGCAGGGGTAATAGGAACGTCTGTCTGTCCGCTTCTCAATGAGGACAAGTTCTCTCAAAAACTATTAAAGTTAGACAAATGGAATTTTACACACTAATGTCATGACCTCAAACAGAGTTGTGGCCCTTGCTCTATGCTTTTCAACTTAGTGGATACTATGTGAAATGGGGACAAGTTTTCTCAGAAATAACGGAAGTTACATGAATGAAGCTTATCTATGCAGTTTGAAACTGATGCTGTAAATTATTTTTACCACTTTACATTAACTTCTATAGTATTCTACTACATGAACAAAGTTCTAATCTGCCCCTTGGTTAGGGATAGTAATAACACTGTCGTCTTGTTGTGTTTCACCCTGCTATAGTATTGGCACTTGTCTTGAGACGTGGGAAATCTGATCTATATTAATGGATCCAAGGAATTTGCCACTGACGTTTCAGATTATATGGAATCGATGTGGTCTGATCACCAATCAGAATAATTTTGAAAATGAACTAATCTACAGGATCATTTGTCCGTATGGGGAATAAACAATTCACATACATGCAGCAGAAATCAATCAGCAATCATCTATATTTCTTCTGATCACCGGCATTAGCACCTATAGATCACGTCACAAAATGTCCCCCACAAGCAAAATCCCTCAAGAACATTACAGCTTGGCAGGACAATTACTCCTCCCACACAGAATCTTCTGTCTGTCATTGTTACAGGGCAGGGTATTATCAATCACTGCTTCTAATCAGCACTCTGTAGGTGTTAACTTGCTTTCTCAGACCAATCTGGACCACTGTCGATATCATGATATGTGCCCATCATCGGGCCCAGGTAGTTTTTACAGTGTGACACATAGACAGACTTTCACAGCTCTTGCGGGTGTCAGTGAAGACTGGGTCATGTTTCAGACAGAGTCATAACTGTACGGCTGTCCCATGCTTCATCACAGACTTATGACAGTCGAACATTTACGATCGCTTTGAACGGGCCGTCACACAATTTCACGTTGAGATGATCATAAGTCCCGTACACTTACAATGACTTTGAACAAAAGGCATAGCACGGTATCCATGACTCCCATTGTCATACGATGACTTTAAACAAAAGGCATAGCATGGTATCCGGTTTCTTACACAGACTTATAATGACTTCTGGTAGTCATAGCATATGACAATAGCTCTCATACTCTTACATAGACTTTTGAACCCTTGAAGATCCGGGTTAGAATAGGTCTTCAGCAAGGCGATTATGTTTGTTGTTTGAGGCGACTATCGGATCGGGTGGTCAGGCTCGCTGACTTGAATGATACATGTCGTCGTATCCCAATTGCGTGGATCGATGCTTATGATATCAACACTGGGTTGTCTGGTGCAGACTTGATTATTTACAGACTGACGTCATTTAGCTGGAATATTGCTGATGATAGTCATTGTACTGTGACTTTAGCTCCCATACTCTAAGATAAACTTTAATTTATTTCACCTAAATCCAAACTCCCATACTCTGATGTAGAATTATGATGATCATAGTACTGTGATCATAACTCCCAAACACAAGTGCAGACTTATTAAATATCCCTTACATCCATTTAATCTATGATAATGTGAAATAAGTTCAAGACAGGTGGTGCAGTGATTGCCATTGGATATAACCTGACAGGTGGCTAAGTCAAATGCTGGTTTAGTCATTGTGAATGCATTATTGTCAGATCCCCTGGAAATGCTTTTCTATTAATCTTGTAACAGAATATACATATTCTAAAATTCATCTTCATAATTAGTAGCTTTTCAAATGCCTGACTCCTGTCAATGTGAGAGATGCTACCTTCATCCGTTTTGGTTACCTGGGTAACACAGACATTGGAATTGTTTAATAGTGTCACTGTCACTGCTCAGGGACACAAGCACTGCCTATATTTCTATTTTGACCAAAGTATTTTCAGTGTACAACTAAATAAAAACATTCTTCTCCCGCCATCAAAACATTTCTTCTTTTACCCTAAAATATGAAGTGAAGGTAAAATCCAATTTCTTTATATTGAAAACTGTCTTAGCAGTGATGAGTTGTGTAAGCCTCAGCCGAAAAAAAAATCCACTTTTATGACATGACATGTCCATGTTGTTGATACATTTAATTACTTGCTTATTGTTAGATGGTGCCATTGATCAATGGAGAGAAAAAGCAAGGTAATAAACTGGCGGCAGACCAGATGTAAGTTTTAGCAATCTGATCAGATCAATTACGGTACATTAACAGGTTAATGCCAGTGTTAGTGTAGAAAAACTCAACAGTGTTCTGAAGTCTGTCGACTTGACATGCATTTTTTATTATTTATTGCAAAAGTTCACCAATATCCACCCATTTAGTTTCATGTTATTTGCTGGTGTACAATTTTAACTACATGCCAATGAACCGTGGATTTAGAAATCTGATCAAGTGTTATTATATTTAATGAACTGTCTTGCTATATCCTATGTCATGAAAATACTTTTATCATATTTTTTAGTCCAATTTAGTTTTAAAGTATCAACCATGTTGTCATTGATTTCCTTTTGAAGAATCTCTTGGAAATGTCAAGTTACCTAGTTTTTCAAGATTTCAATAAATTAGATGAGTGAGCCCTGTATATAAAGCATGCTCACTGGCCCCCATCAGGAGATGTCTGAGAGTCATGCTGGTCATTGGCTCCTAGTCATCAGAATCACCACCATGCTGCTCTCTTACCAAAATCTGTTTTTAAGGTCATCAAGTGCTCACTCCAATATATTTAACATGTCAACGTCTGAGAATAATCAGTCTCGATTAACTGCCGAAACAGTTTCCATTGGGTGTAAAAGCAAAATCGTAGTGAAAATTATGTGAATGGATCACCGAAAATCAGTGATGACACCAGGTGTTCGCGAAAAAGGGGAAGCATGGCCTGATTAACTGGTAGCACCCGCCACTTACATAATTTGCATAAAAAAGTGAGCGTATGGTGCCTGACGCCGCACAGCACACTCCTGACAAACAACTCTTCCTGTAAACAAATCATGTTCTGATCGTACAATCCAGTGATGGACCAGACAATCCAGTGACATGATAGTATGTTTACTGCTTTGGTTGAAACTAAAAACAATATGCACAGCTTCATCTAAAAATGAGGCTGACAGTTTTGTGCTCACAGGTTTTTCTGCTGTAAGTCCTTGTTTTTTGTGAAACATTCAATCAAAGAATTAAAGTAGTTGTAATAACAACAACAATGACAACAATGAATTCTATAACAATGTACTCAGGTCACATGTAACTTTAGATCCTCCAGCCTTTGGGCATTGATCAATGGCTTCCTTTACAATTTGGAAGGTACAATATGGAGACCTTAAATTCTTGATCCATGTCAGTCTGTTACATAACAGCAACCATGTTTGACAGCCCAGTACACATGCTGCCCAACCTGGTGAACCAGTTCCCTTAGATGTCATTTCAACCAGAATGGGTCTCATTTGCAATCTTTTAAGTCATGTGACGTATGGTTTTGATATGGAAATTGACTTGATATAAACTGTTGCAAGGCTAAATGTAAAACCCAAAGGTAGGGTTGTAGTGGGATCACTGAACATGAAAACTAAAACTAGCTATAAACATTTAGCTGGACTGTAGAAACATGAAGACGTCCATTCCTCTGTTCATACTGGAATCTGTACAAGGAGACACATATTATTGCCTTGTCCAACAATTGTACCACCAAATCCCTGTCTCCAAGATTAACCATAATCCTTATTACAATCACGAATGGACTAGCTTTCTTAATATTTACAGAACGTATCAGTCTCATTAAAATCATATCTTAGTTCTCGCTACCGCAAAACAAAGATCTGAGGACATCCCATTACGGGTCACGTCAAACCAACCTTCCTCGAACTTTGACCGACCAATGGAATGGCTGACAAGAAGTCAACATTAGCCAATCAGAAGGCTGCTTTCTCGTGCTTTACGGCATTAATTTCAAATTGGTGACTATGCTTCGAAACATATTTTGACAAGTTCTCGATAAAAGATTTGAAACCTGAACAAAAGAACATTCTGGAATGGCTAATTGATGGTCAAGTTTGTATGGATTCAGTCGTTAAGCCAGTAACTATCGTTCGGAATACGTGTTCAAGTTTTCGAGGTTGCATGATTAAAAATAACATTTCTGACTATCACTTTCATGATCTGGTCGGATGAAAGGTTGTTCACACGTGACCCCTAATTGGATGTCCTCAATTCTTTATTTAGCGGGAGCGAGAACTAAGATCTGATTTTAATGAGATTGCATAACGTATTTGAGACAAGTGGAATTAATATCATATGGAATCTCCAAAACAATTTTTGCAAAACCAAATTAATTTCCATCAAAACATTTTATTTTTCCATACTACACACGATTATTCCACACAACAAACAACATGGTGACCATTGATATACTTACAGA